GTTCATAATTTATTTTTACGTGTATCCTGTTTAATTTACTCGGTGCAAGTCTCGAAAGGTACCTTCTGCAGCGTGTTAACGCGTTCGAACGGCAATAATTATTTGGATCGTTGCGCAGAAACGTAAAAGAAGCGGTCGTATCGGTATGCGTCATTCGTCTTCGTCCCGAATCAGCACGCAAGCTCGCCTGTGAAATAAGAACAGCCACGATATTCAATAAATAACGAGACGCGTACGAGATAATTGGGAGGCCATAATTGCGCGCATCTTTCGTATTTCGTGCATGGTCGAAATGCGCGAGCGATCGTCATGTGGGCCTCGATTCTTCCTCGGAGAACACAAAAGGGACTTTCGCGTGAGGAGCACATCGGTTCGGTTTCCGGTGAAACGGCGCGTCAAACAAAAGACCACTGCGTCGATTTCGCGGTTGTTCGCCGAATGTTTACCTCGCATCATCGAAACCTCTGTCCTCTGTTTGCCGTTTGGTCGAATTGTCATTCGTTGTCTCTTCGTCTCTCGATTCATGTTCCTTCTCCCCCTACCAGCAAGTCGAGTGCAAAGTCATCAACCACCTGCGTTCATTCTCGACTTTCTCTCGAGCAACGATTATGTTCCGTCCGATTCGTATTATTTGCTCGTTTCACGTTTTGGCATAGGGCAATTGTCTTTCCGCGCCGGCAGCTCGCCACGAGACACGGAAACGATGCGTTCCTTTCGTGGAAACGCCGTTTCTGATTATAACCCTTCGGTTAGTTGGTGGAACCTCGCATTTGGTTAATCGTGTCGTGTTTTCTGCGACAGAAGCCGTGGGGAGAAACGTAGAAAGCAATTAGGGCTGACGACTTTTAATCGACGCTAACTTTACACGATCTGCGGATAACAAAATTATTTTGCAATGAACTACAAGTAGAATTCTCTGTAATTTCTTGAACGATAAATTTATACGATTGAATGATATAATTGAAGGTATCGGTAACTCCATTAGTGCCGAGTGAAGTTGTACCTTAGAATACCAAACGTCAAAGAAACAAAAAAAGTTTAGTAAGGTTTGAGCCAAAAAATAGTGAGAATGGTATTTAGAATAATAATTGCAAGTGTTGCTGACAACGATATATCGTTTAGCACTAAAAGGATTAAGGATTAAATTAATATTACTAATGGTAGTAATAATAGTTGTACTAATTACTAAAATTAAATTAATATTAACTAACTGATATTAATAAATTAGTACTAGTATTAGTACATTCATTGCTAGTACTAGCACATTCATTAATAATTGCTAATGCTAATAGCATTTGTTAATTAAATATTAAACTTTCTCTTATACTATTTTCGGGATCATTTAATAACAATTTTTTTTTATTTTTAATATGTCATCACATGTAGTTCTCCTTCAACATACTTTTCTGCAAATTTAAGACATCCTTAAATTTTGTAACATGCGCTAAATTTTCTCAAATATATCGAACTTTTTTATTATTATATATTATTATGTATCAATATTTTATTTCTGTTAAACAAAAATTCATATTTTTCTATATGATATAAAATATATAAAGCTGTATATTATTAAATATTTTATTTCTTAATAATACTAAAATATAGCATAACTAAGGAGGCAGAATAGTTCATCCCGATGAAATGTTGGTTACCCTGTTTTCCTAAATATGATATAACACGTGGCGATATAGAACATGACTGTGTTATTATACAACGCATAACAATTTAAAGAATGGTAATTCAAGGTTGACTATAAGACAAAAAATCCTAGTTACACTAATGGTCGTAACCTTGTTTCAACTTCTTCTCTTTTTAGGAAGTAATTTGCAACTCAAACTGGGTTTACCTTGTCCACAACTAGGTCTTGTCGCGTAATTATATGTTTAATCACGGCGACTTAATTATAAAGAATCTCTAAATTTTAGAAGTTGTATATTTGAACTTTTGATATGTTCGAAAATAATCCATCAATTTTTTATATTGCGTATCAAAAAAACTGATACTTAGATTTATGTTTCAGTATATCTCAAACTTTAACTTTTCTGAGTTTATGATAAATTAGTGCAAAGTATTTAGTTTCCTTAGTAATTCGTAGCTGAAATCTTAAATTAATGTTAGAATATTTTAAGTTAATTTAAACTTGCATTTACTTCAGATTATTACTGACTATAATATTGTACAGTTACATTTCATAAACTCAAGCAATACTATACCGAATTATCGTGATATTTAATAATTATAGACATCTAAATATGAAACAAATAAGTTAATGCAAAATATTTAGATTAGTAATTTGTTGTGACTGAAATATTAAGTAAATGTTAGGATAATTAAAGTTACATCCACATCAGAGGATTATCAGAGACTACAATAATGTACAGTTACATTTCATAAAATCGAATAATACTACACTAGGATACTACATTATTAAATAATTATTACAATATTTACATTTGACAGAATTTACAACATTTCTGTTATTACAGTAGTGATATTGTTTATAATAATTAACAATAATAGTGTGGACTGATGCTCACTATAGTTAGATTAGCTCAAAAAGATTTATTTGTTGGAATCAGATTATGTTTTATTACGTCCTCGTTATTTAAAGTAAATTTAAGATTTCTTAAGTTGAGTTCTTCGTTCTAATACGTGGAGCAGTTTTACAATAATTCTGATATAAATCTCTTCTTTTGTGGTTAGGTGAACATGAGTGCAGCTTATGTGACCTACTCTTAACCTCGCTAAGTATTGATTGATGTTCTATGTTCAGTGAATTAACAGGAATTTTTCAGAAAATATCTTGGACTAAATAAGTGTTCTGCAGTATTGGCGTCCCTCCAATTCTACAGTGATTTAATTTTGTTTCTGATGCTTGCTTTAAGATCATTGTAATAAATGTGTTCAGATGTTATGTTGTTGAAACATTACTGCAAAGAATTAGTCGAACGTCTCAAATTTAATAAATTGTAAAAACTTGAATTGTAAACTCACAGCTACAGATTATAAAAGGTTTATACAATTGATTATCCTTTAATAAATTTAGTCTCGCTGGAGCAATAATAGATTTAATATATTTAACCAATTTTTTAACAGATAATGGTTACGTATGCAACGCTCATTTTCGAAATATCCATCAACCGGATGAACAATTAACCAGTTCTGTAATCAACTAGCAACGAAACAGGTTATTAACGCAAATCAGAGGAATCGAAGAAACGCACCCTATCAAAAATTGCATAACGGAGGAGCAGTTAAGATTTTATCGTATAATAAAAGATGATAGTATGAGGATAGAGTAAAAATTTCTATTGAGATCTAGCCTGATTGAAGATATCTTACCACTAGGCTGTTCTTCGATTCCTAGCTTCGTTCAAACGGATGATAAATTAGTTAGAAATAGATAACTCGGGACAGGTGATGCTAGATCGGCAGATGTTTTTGGTTACACAACAGCTTGTCTCTAATTTAACCATCAGTGTTATTTTCTACATCCTTTCCTTTTTTTATTTATAAATGCGTATGCGTATCATATAGGTAGTTGTTAATTATCTCTCTTTAACAGTTATGATTAATTTTTGTAATTAAAATTTTCTTATAAGTTCAAAATATTGTTAAACAGATAAATAGACGAACGCAAACTAGAATAATTCGCTCTGTAATATTCAACATATCAATACTAAGGAAATAAGAAGAGAATGACTAATGAAAATGGAAAGCAAAAAAAAGTTATTGATTCTCGTTATTAATTTAATGTTTCCTCGGATCGATCAGCGTTCGTTGCGGCTCACGCACCACAAAAGTGATATTGTACGAGAAGCCTGGGGTACGGTCATTGGATTATGGAATTTGCATCACGGAATTATAACTGTGCTCTTAGCGGAGAGAAAGGTAGACGAAGGGAGACAGAGATGGCGAATGAAAGAGGCCGTATGATGTTATGCATCTATGTATCATGATGTCCAGCGGCGAGCTTGCAACGAACGAGAAAGACGATCCGGGATCATAGGTTGAAGAGGGAAAAAGAACTTTCCTAAATAGCTTCCATAACACGAAGGACTCTTGGGTTCGTCACGCTGCGCTACACCCTTATACACGCGTGCACTCATACATGCGTGAGTCTGTGTACACCCACTTCTCTCATTATTAACCCGTTAGATTCCACGAATACTTGTGGTTGCGATCTTTCGAACCACAAACCAAATGATTCGAGGCCGCGATTTCACGTAATTGGGGCTAGATTATTAGACGCATGTTCGCTGCCGGCAGGAATCTGAATATAATCTTGAGCATGCGTGCGGCTGTTGACATAGCGATATTTCCAAAGGTGATATCTCACGGTGGTACAGTCTTCACGTGCTCGACCTTCGGACTCATAGAACAACGCATCCCGTTCAGACAGAAAATATTTCTATGTTTGCCAGGACAATTTGTCATTTTATTGGTAAAGAAAGGGAGAATTCAAAACGAAACGGAATACTGTAATCTTAGTACACACAAGACGAGCATTCATACCCTAGCTTCATCGTACAACCTTTTTCTGTTATAACTTTTTTTTTCGAGCATGCACGGACCGAAGAGAGACGTCAATATCCAATCGATAGATAAGCTTGGTCGTTGGGTCGCAAACACAGCTGGGTCCACGAAGGGCTCAGGTAATCCGAATACAGGGTGCCCTGTGTTACTGTGCCAAGTCTTTGGTTTTGTGTACCCATTCGCAGCCATCGTTGGGTCGATCCTCTGTACACGCAGCTTGCCGCATTTTCCAAGTATTTGTCTGTCCTCAAAGCGGGATCTTTTTGCCCTGGATTATTCCGCCAGGCTATCTTATAAGGTTCCTTGCAAAATCATTACTCCTCGAGCTGACAGATTAGAGCCGTTAACTCGGTTAGAACGAGAACCGTTTATATACCTGTAGTAGTGTAATTACTATTTTGATATTCGCTCATCAGAAAATCTTGACAGCATCGCTAATTACGTGATTGCATTGTCTGTTACAGGTACGACCTGGGGTTGTGTCGGGGTAGCTAGTAAAGCATCTGTTGGTGGCGGAAAGGAGATTTCGACGAACGGAGAGCAAACGACGAAGGCGGGGAGCACGTTTGGTAGGAGAAGAAGAAGAAGAAGAAGAGGAAGTCGAGAAAGTGTAGGCGCAGGCGCCTTAGGTGATGTGAGGCTGGCGCCCGCCTCACGTTTGGGGTGATGCCCTCCAGTGAGCCTCATCCCCCCCAGTACCACCTTCAGCATCACACCATTCCTCCCTCGCATCTTCAACAACATACGTCGAGCGCGATCGGGCAACATCAGCTTTACCAGCAGCTGGTGGCGGCCCATCATCAGCAACAGCAACAACAACAACAACAGCAACAGCAACAGCGACAGCAGCAACACGGCGGGCTTTTCCAAAATTCCACGTACACGCAACAGAAGCAGGAGATGAGCCCGGAGGAGGAGGGGGGTCGAGGGGGCGGGTCCCCCCCGGCAGCAGGGGCTGCACTACATCAGCCTCATCACCCCCGGACTGCTAGTCCACCCTCAGGCACGGAACCCTGCACTCGCGATGCTATACCGACGCCCACGCCGATCGCAGATACTACCACAACAACTACAACTACTATGACAATGCAGTCGCAAGGGCAACAGCAGGAACAACAAGGTCCTAGTCCTAGTCCCAGCCCAACGGGGGGCGATGTTGAGAAATTTGATGGAAAGATTGTCTATAATCCTGACGGCTCGGCATATATTATCGAGGGAGAGAGTGAGCTCAGCGAAGATGATTCGCTGCCGGACGGTTGTATCGTAGATGGGCGCGGTGTTTCGGTTCCTCATTCTTTAGTATTTCCTCAGATCGCGAGCGCGTATTACGTGTCAAGATTGTACGCGCATCAGGCTTATCAGCAGCAGCAGCAGCAACAGCAACAACGTTCGGCGGTGCAACAGCACAATCCCGATCTTCCTGTGATGCACAGTTATCGAGTGATTAGTTACAGAAGCGCGGAGGGTAGTAAACAACCGCCTCCACCTCCGGCTACTCCTCCATCTCCAGCCGCGTCGGTACCTGTAAAACCTATTCTAATGTGCTTCATATGCAAACTCAGTTTTGGCTACGCGAAAAGTTTCGTAGCACACGCACAGGGCGAGCACCAACTTACCTTGATGGAAGACGAAAGGCAGATACTTTCGCATTCGACCGCATCGGCTATTATTCAAGCTGTGGGTAGAGGAAAACAACCGTTGGTCAGTTTTCTCGAACCCGTTACGAGCTCCACGTGTCCGCAGCCGTCGCCTGTGCAGATGCAAAGTCAACAGCAACAGCAACGTTCCGAATCCAACGATCATGAAACACCGACAACGACTAGTACCCCTGCCAGTACCCCTGGAGTACCGAGTAGTCCCCAACAGCAACAGCAGCAACAACAGAGGCCGTCCTCCAGTACTCCTACGACACCCACGTCCCATTCGAATCATCCTCTCGCGTACAATCATCAACAACCACAGCAACATCAGTGGACCGGTGCTCAAGTTAGTGCTGCATCGTGGGCCAAAGCACCCGAAACTGCTGGCATTCATTATACTTCGCCGCCACCGCAGTCTTCGTCGACGAAAGGATCACCGTCTTCTTACGCCTCTTTGACCCAACAACCACCGAATTTTTTGACGGGTACGACCATCGGTGTCTGTCCAGAGCATATGCAGGGTAGGCCTAGCGGAGTCGAGTGTCCGAAATGCGAACTTATATTAGCAAGCAGCAGATTGGCTGGTCCAGGTGGTCCACTAGCTGGGATTCACAGCCGGAACTCGTGTAAAACGTTAAAATGTCCAAAATGTAATTGGCATTACAAGTACCAAGAAACTCTGGAGATACACATGAAAGAGAAGCATCCAGAGAGCGAAACCTCTTGCATTTATTGCATCGCTGGTCAACCACATCCTAGATTAGCTCGTGGCGAGACATATACCTGCGGATACAAGCCTTACAGGTGCGAAGTATGCAACTATTCTACCACGACGAAAGGCAATCTCAGTATTCATATGCAAAGTGACAAGCATTTAAACAACATGCAAGAGCTTCAGCAGGGTAGCGGTGGCAGTTCAAGCGCGAACAATCCATCTTCTTCTCAGGACGCGCCAATGCCAACGAGAAGTCCGCATCACCAGCAAAATCATAGTCCGCATATCACTGGCCAGGTCGGAAATCAAGGTAAACCGAAACCAACGTTTCGTTGCGACGTGTGCAACTATGAAACCAACGTCGCTCGAAATTTGAGGATACACATGACTAGCGAAAAACATACGCACAATATGCTGGTTCTACAGCAGAACGTGAAACACATGCAAACTTTATCGGCGCTACAGTCCCATCATCAACAGGCTCAACATCATCATCAGCAAGCGCAACAGCAGCATCAACAGCAGCTCGAGCAGTTGCTTCATTTGGGCGGTTTGGACAAACCACAGCACGCGGAAGCAGCTTTGGCAGATATGGCTTACAATCAGGCTCTGTTAATTCAGATGATGACCGGTGGACAGTTACCACCGCAACTTCCACCGGAAATTATGGGTGGTATGGCGAGTATGAGTGCGATGGGCAATCTTGGCGGAGACGTTGGTCTCTCACCGGACAGCATGGATCCACCACCCGAGCCAGCTGACCCTGATCCATCTCATCTTTATCATTGCTGCGTTTGTAATAATTTCGCGACGGATTCGTTGGAAGCGTTGGGTCATCATTTGGCCGTCGACAGGACCAGAACGCGCGAAGGCGAAATTCTTGCGTTGGTGGCTGGCCATTTCGTCTGTAAACTTTGTTCCTATAAAACTAACTTAAAAGCGAATTTTCAACTCCACTGCAAAACTGATAAGCACCTCCAACGTCTGCAGCACGTGAATCACGTGAAGGAGGGTGGGCCTAGAAACGAGTGGAAACTCAAGTACCTGGCCTCACCTACTAGCGCCCCGCAATTACGCTGTCACGCATGCGATTATTACACGAATAGTGCCCATAAATTGGCCTTGCACGCTGCATCGCCCAGACACGAAGCCGCAGCTCTACTTCTTCGTCACCTGTTAGAAGCAAGTGCCAATGTGCCATCACAGGCGAAACTGTATCATTGCGCGCTCTGCGGATTCAGTGCAAGACACAGGTTGCCGCTTCTGCAGCATGTTCGATCTTTAAGGCATCTTCAGATGGAACAGTTGCATCAGTTACATCGACGAAGCGGAATTCAAGGAAACGAGACACCGCATACCGACATCGGTGATGTTTTTCAAGTTATGAGCGATCCGGACGTTCCATCTGCGCAACAACCCAGTCCCACTACACCGACCACTCCGAATGCTACTAATGTTAATAGTGGTGAGTACAAACTTAGAGATTAAATATAGTTTACAATGTGCTATTGAATTTGCTTTTGTTGCTTTTATTTGTTCATATCTTTTCTGTTATTGCACAAATGATATACATCAAAAGTATATCGCTAATTATAATATAGCATTGATTTTATTTCTTGTCAAAGGATAGATGATAGGGATATTTAAAACAGTAAACGTTTTTATAGTAGATTAATACAATACATACAGTTTTTAGTAGAGACACGCCGAAGAAATAATAATCTAGATATTCTAAGATCTAGATCGTTTCTAAAATAATAAGTAACCTTGATGTTAGATATAGGTTGTAGAATAGCTCGTGTTTCTCATACTTCAGTAACCACTAGGTCTTCATATTCTTAGATTCACCAGCTTCCTGGGTTCCAAGTTTCTATTCCTTCAAATTCATCCTTAAATTTTAAAATTTCCTAAAATCTTTTCGACCACTGTTTTGTCTAGAAGATGTGTGATTTGCACTTGACAGTACATTCGTGAATGATCATATCCGAACATCACATAATAGATTTTAACGAAGGCTACTTTCTACCTGTCCGATCTTATAAGAGTAGAATTGATCAGGTTTTTTAACGAATTCAGTATTTTCATTGATTATCGCGTAATTAACATACAACAACAGCAATTTCGCCTGGCATATGGTCATGGCGTGTGCTGTGGCACGCACAATGCCGAGCGTTATTCTATCGATGCCCTGTACTTACATAAATATATGAAGAGAGGGCGCGTACAAACTGAAAGCAACAGCACGCGTTCTTCCTTGCGTTGTGCCTTCGCAACTGACGCTGCTCGATGTAAATACGGTTCCAGACAATATCAGACCACGCGAATAGGCGGACTTCTTTTATTCCTTGCCTTGCTTTCTCCACAAGCCACGCGTTTTTCCCTCGTTGTTACGACCTGTCGATAATTTTACTCTGCCAATCTGTAATTTCAAGTATTGTTAATTCAGACAAGAAAGCATCTGCGATATCTGCACACCAGGACGTCACCCCCTTCGTACTTTTTCATCGTTAGCGAAACTCTTTCACCTGATACGATGTGTTACAATATTAACTTCTGTTGGCTTCGGGCTACTGCTTTTGGTAATTGTATGGGAAAGGATATACTTAATCGATTTTGGTGGTCTCAATATGCTTATCAAGGACGTCGTGATCGACTTTTTTGTAAGCTTGTATAATTGTGCGAATTTTGTTTCTGGGATATTTGCAAAAACATCAGTGTGGTATTTGGAAAGACTCGTTAATCATGAAATATATCTATTTTTACATTTTGAATAATTTTGCCCATGTACGTAATCATCTTCTGATGTTAGTTTTTATACGCTGAAAACTTGAGTATGACCATATATAATACAGCATATTTTGCTTTTAAATATACACTATACCATATTATCATTAATTAGTATTTATATAAATATTTAATACTTAATATTCAATATTTAATATTTAATTTTTCGAATTTCTACGTTTTCAAATTTATAAATCCCTCATTCTCGCATTTCAATTTCTATTTAAATTTGTTACTTACCGAATTACTAAATCCAAAAATTTGTTAATATTCCTAATTTTCCAAATTTGTTAAAATTTGTTAATATTCCTAATTTTCAAAATTTGTTAAAATTTGTTAATGTTCCTAATTTTCTAAATTTATTAAAACGTACCAAATTTTCTAATTTCTAAAAATATTTTAAATTCTTACATTTCTACAATTTTTAATATTTCGGATTTCAATGTTTCCATATTTCCAAGTTCATAAATTTCGCAAACTCCTAAATTTCCACATTTACAAATTTCGACGTTCTTAAATGTTTTAGTTTCCTAAATTGTCAAATTGTTAAATACCTCAAATTTAAAAATTAAATTATTTCTGTATACTTAATCTTATAAATTTGACAAATTTTAATCTTATAAATTTCTAAGTATGAATTTCTCATTTCATAAATTTCCAATTTCTCAAATAACGAATGTTCAAACACTTTAGTTTTACTTCTAATTATTAAATTCAATTCAAATTGTAAATTCTCAACTTTTAAAATTTTTCAATTTTTCAATATCTAAATTTGAATATTTAAAATTTTCAGTATAACGTGTGATTCTGAATATACTTAGACGATATATAATTTGTAATATATAATGTATGATTTATAATCCATAGTCTGTAATCCATAATCCATAATCCATAATCCATAATCCATAATCTACAATCTGTAATATATTATCTATAACCTATAATCTATAATCTTTGCTAACTTAACATATAATTTCAAGCTTAAAGTTTTTAAATATTACATTACTTCCTTAAGTATGACTTTTCCAGTACATGGAAGTCTATTGTTTAAAATTTATTGTCTAAAAATTTGAACATGTAATTTCTATCTACATACTAGTATACCTTTGTTCACATAAAAAATAAAGAACAGATTAATGATAAAAATAATCACGTTAAATTTCTCGTATCCGAAATATTTTTTAATATTATCAAAAGTAAACAAAATGTGCCGAATAAAATGAAATATTTCATAATGATAATCATAAAAGAACATGCATTAATTGGTTATTTATATGAACATTGTAAGCTAATAGAAATAAATCTATTTAGCTATCACGATATTCATCGAAACACTTGAAGCGAAGAAGTTATCAGAATCTCATCACTTCGATCGGATTGATTGGCAATCAACATGTTAACAGAATATAACATTGAATTAGTCGAACAAAATGCCTTTCTGGCCGTTACACGTGATTTACTTTCTCTTACAACTTTATCAGTTTGCATTTCTGTCCGCATGCAGTTATAAGATTAATGGTCTGTTTTTTTGGCCGGTAAGATTTTCGACGTCGATTGGCGATTTATTGAGGTCTTAGCAAAAAAGAGAATTACATGGTTTCGTTATCGGAAGATGGTAATCGAAATATTAAGACGTACGAGTGTATGTTGCTTGAATCAAAGTTCTCGATACAAATACAGCAGAAGATATTCTGAGTTTCATTACTTGCGATTGAAATTTTTAGCAATAAACGTTATAATGTTCTTAAACTTACATTGATTTACATTAAATATTAGTTGCAAGTATAAAGTCGCTTTTTGCTTTTTATTAGTTCAACACGTTCGATTTCAGAGTAAGTGTAGGTCAACAATAAAACAAAGATGTAAAAAACATTTTTAAATCTACGAAGTGCATTTATGTCTAGACCAATATTAGAGGTTCACTACTTTCATATTTTCTAATGTTTGAGTGATTTTATATCCTCTGGCTGTTATTTCTGTAGGATGTTTTAAAAAACAGCTGGGATTGAATGTGTTAATTTCTGTTCAGTCTTCAGTTTTATATTGTCCCTAGATCTAAATTTTTTTTATTTATCAGCGTAGCAATTGTCTTTTTATCACAAACGAATCTTTTTTATGCTTTTGCAGAACGCCGAGAGGAAGGTAGCGATTGTGGTAGCGAGGTGAAGCAAGAGCCAGACAACGATCAAGAACCGGAACAAGAACCAGAGACCGAACAGGAGGAAGTCACCTGTCCATATTGCACTTATCAACCGACATCACGCGAAGAATTAAGGCAGCATTTGCAAGTGGCTCATGTCCAAGATTCCGAGGACAAAGTAGAGGCTGTAAAGGAAGAACCAGCTCCGGAATTGTTGTGTCCGCTATGTCAAGATAGCTTCAAAGAGCGTTCCGCTTTGGAGAAACACGTGATGCAAATTCACTCGGTGAACGCTGACGGCTTACAGCGGCTGTTGCTTTTAGTGGATCAGAGCCACTGGTTGAACAACAATCCCAGAAACACTTTAACCCCAGCAGCGACTACGCCAACGTCCCCGACCACGACCACGAAGCCGGTGCAAGAAGAAGAAATGAGCGAACGCAGTATGAACGAAGAAATCGAGGAAATCACAAGATGCACCATTTGTGGACGCGTGTGTCGCTCTTTGGAGGAGCTGCAACAACACCACAGGGAAATCCATCCGGCTACTACACCTACGCTAGCAGTTAGCGAGAAACACGTCTACAAATATCGATGCGGTCAATGTAGTCTCGCGTTCAAGACTTTAGAGAAACTGCAACAACACTCACAGTATCATGCTATCAGAGATGCGACGAAATGTGCGTTGTGCGGCCGATCATTTCGTTCGGTTCAGGCACTTCAAAGACATCTTGAATCTGCACACGCGGATCTGCACGAGGACGAACTCGCACAATACAAGCAGAGTTTGCTGCATGCTCACCCTCTGCTTCTGGCACTAACCGAGGAAGCTCTACGTAGGCAAGGTAACTTGAGCGGGGAACAGAACGTGGAGGACGATACTAGCAAGGCGGACGAGGAAGAGAGCGACGCGAGCGATTCTTCGCCGCTGCATAAGGAACAACGTCTTTTGGAGGACTATTTGAATAGTCAAACGGTTGCCGAAGATTCTTACCACGATCCGGGTAGAAAGTTCAAGTGTCACCGCTGCAAAGTAGCCTTCACGCGGCAGAGCTATTTAACTGGACACAATAAAACGCTATTGCATCGTAAAGGAGAGAAGATGTCTTATCCGATGGAGAAGTACTTGGATCCGAATAGACCTTACAAATGTGACGTTTGCAAGGAGAGCTTCACTCAGAAAAATATACTGTTGGTTCACTATAACAGCGTTAGCCATTTACACAAATTGAAGAGAGCCATGCAAGAACAGGGTAATAATAACACTCTGATCTCCGTTGTACCACCTGCTAGTCCAACAGAATCACCCGATTCGCAACAAGACCAGGACAAGAAGCCTTACAAATGTAATATCTGCAAGGTAGCATACTCTCAAGGTAGTACTTTGGATATTCACATGAGAAGCGTGCTGCATCAAACGAGGGCCAGTAAACTGCCAGATCTCGCTGCCAGCGGTCAATTAGACCTTGCTCGGCCATTAATCGAACAACCACCACCAACGAGTCCAAATAGTTCGCCCGTTAACACAAATGCTGGTAACACAGGGTCTATGTTATCCTGTCCGCGATGCAGCGCTCTGTTCGTGAATCAAGAGCAACTCGCTACACATCAACAACTTTACTGCATCTTTAGCAATCCATTGGCGTTGTTTCAACAATTGGCAGCTTCGCAACAACTCGCTTCATCTGCTCCTGCTAAAACGCCACCGCCGGTATCTACGACACCAGGTCCTCAACAGCATATGCAGCAAAGTACACAGCACTCGTCGCAAACGACGCAAGATATACTATCGCAGCCACGTCACAAAACATCGCAGATGTACAAGCATCTGTTGGAGAGTTTCGGATTCGATCTAGTAATGCAGTTTAATGAGAATCATCAGAGGCGTCAACGAAAAGAGGAGGAGGCTGCCGCCGCGCTGCAAGCTCAACAACAGCAACAGAAACAAGAGCAGCAGAAACAAGCTCTTGCTGCCCAAGCTGCACGCGAAAGAGAAGAAGAAGCTGAGGAGCAAATTGACGACGATGTTATACCGGAATTAACTAGGAGCACTTGCCAGCATTGTAATAAAGAATTTAGTAGCGTGTGGGTTCTCAAAGCACACTGCGAGGAGGTACATCGTGATTTGGTGCCCCGTGAGTTTCTGGAGAAGTATGCTCAACAATTCAAATGCGAATACGAGAAGAAAAGTGTCGTGGTAACCGTTGCAACATCTTCGTCCACGTCTTCTGGGCCGAGAAGCTCCACACCCGCATCTGGTCAGGTTCAGGACGTTGTTTCGGAGAAGGAGCAACGCGAAAAAGAAAAGGATGATCCTATCGAAAACAAGGATCGTGTTAGCAAAACTCCAGAAGCTACTTCAACTACTCCAGCATCGACTCCAGCGTTAAGTAATACACCGTTGTCGAGCACAGATTCAACTACGCCTACTGTGTTGCCAATAAATTCATCTCTCCATATTCAACAAACACAACAACAACAGCAGCAACAGCAGCAGCAGCAACAACAGCAACAGCAACAGCCGCCACAGCCACAGCAGCAACAACAGCAACAGCAACAACAACAACAGCAGCAGCATGCTCAGTTAACTTTGGCTCAACAAATGTCTGAAATGCAAGCTGCTTTAAACGCCATGGCTGCTTCTCAGCTGCAACAACAACTACAACAATATCCTGGATTGATGATGGGTATGATGGGGCTACCTCTTGGATTAAATGTACCTGCTTTAGCTGCCATGAATCTTCAACCACCATTAGTACCAATGATGTTACCACCACCTCCGTATGATGGAGCAGCCACCGCATATCCACCTATCAATGCTCAAGCTGATCTTCTTGCTAAACAACATCTCGCTTTGCAACAACAACAAGCAGCTGCCGTGAGTAACTTCACAGTCCTTTAATACGCAATATTTTACCGAATAAAATTTTAAATTAGATATTTCATACAAGTTTAGAAACGGCTCTGCACGAACTTTATAGAAAGGGGCTTTTGATGGACCTGGTTGAAATTTTGCAATTTTATACCTCAAGTAATACCAATAAAAAATATTATTGATAATTGAATAACTGTAATCATAATTACTAACTATTTCTGCGCTGGGAATATTCGAAAGTGAATTACAGTGAGTTATTTTATATCCGCGCGTCATGCTTCAATAAAGTTTCGGAACCTGATTTATTCGTGTTTGTGTTTAGGTTAAAATTGACGTTAATATTGCTTACATTCTAGTTCGGTTACAATTCAAGTAGTTTAATGGATCATTGAAAATTGTGCTGTGACACCATTCATTCTGATTCTTGACCAGACACACACGTACGCACTGACATGTCTAAAGAAATTACATTCTCGCTTTATGTGTGAGTGACATAAGACACTATGATTGACATTTAAGCTCTTCTACACTACTATAAAAATGAGTCATACAATTGAATTAACGTCCGTGAACCAAAATCAATCCAACAATTGAATTGGGACAATAACAAGTTCTAATTACTATCACTTGAAGTAGAATATGGCAAAGCTTCAACAAAATTTGTTAGTTACTTTCCATAAACTTTGTGTGAGATCTATTGTAACCTGGGATATCAGTAAATTTTATTTCGTATTAAATATTTTTTTACGATTATACATTTCTTATCAACAAATACTCAAACGGTTATATTTTTTGTATAAAAATATGAGCATATATTAGATTATGTTAATAATATACTGTAGAAAATAATTATTCTATCACATAGGTTATATGAACAAGGAAGGAAGCATAGGTACATTTTTTCTTCCAGGCTAACGTAGCTGCTTCTCAGAAACGAGCACGAACTCGCATCACGGATGAACAACTTAAGATACTGCGAGCACATTTCGATATTAATAATTCCCCTGGTGAAGAACAGATACTAGACATGGCAGCACAAAGCGGATTACCGCCGAAAGTGATTAAGCACTGGTTCCGGAACACGTTATTTAAAGAACGACAACGTAACAAAGATAGTCCTTATAACTTCAACAATCCTCCTAGCACCACTTTGAATCTCGAAGAATATGAAAAGACTGGGGAGGCAAAAGTTACTCCGTTAAATTCTAGCGTGTCTGGAAGTAGTTCCTCCGACGACAAAAGTCCGAATAAACAGGCAACTCCTCCGCCATCGACAACAATCAATACATCTCAGGCTAGCGAGATAAAGCAGGAGATTCAGGAACAACCGCCGTGCCACATTCAGCAGCAGTCGCAGCATCAAGAAGAGCAGCAGCATCATTCGCCAGGGAGTTCGGGTGGACAGCAGTCTAGGCCACATTCTCCGGCCCTCAGCATGAGTTCAGTTTTTTCCGGCATTCATCATGACGTCTCATCACATGCTCCATCAACGACCAATACGCCAACCACACCTATGTTACCACCAAAATTAGCACCGCAGAATTTTGCTAGCCCCAATCCTGGACCAGGTGGCGTTGTACCGGGCGCCATTGCGGCAATGGCTTTGACCCCTCAAAGATCTCTGAGCCCTGGACGTGGACCGACTGATTACTCTTTTGGGGGGAGTACCAACGGAAATAGTTCCTCTAGCAGCAGCTCTGGAAAACGGGCAAACCGGACTAGATTCACCGATTATCAAATCAAAGTTCTTCAAGAGTTCTTTGAAAACAACGCATACCCGAAGGACGACGATTTAGAATACTTGAGTAAGCTTCTCGGATTAAGTCCGCGTGTGATTGTGGTGTGGTTTCAAAACGCTAGGCAGAAAGCTCGTAAGGTATACGAGAATCAACCCGCTGCCGAACCAGTGACAACTGGCAACCGTGAAGGCGACGATGGCTCAGGTCGCTTTCAACGAACGCCAGGCTTAAACTACCAATGCAAAAAGTGTCTATTGGTATTTCAAAGATATTACGAACTCATTCGTCATCAGAAGACGCACTGTTTTAAGGAGGAGGATGCTAAAAGGAGCGCTCAAGCACAAGCTGCTGCGGCTCAGGTTGCCGCGGTTTTAAGTTCCGAAGATAGTAACAGCAGTTCTACAACGACCACAGCGAATCCTATACCTAGTAATCCAACTACTGCGCCTGCTCTCGCAGAACAGCTTCAGCAACCGTTAAGCACCACTACGTCTCCCCACCATCAACAACAAACGGTGACTCAGTCTCTTCAGCAGTCCCAACAACAAACACAGCAGCAGCAGCAGCAACAACAACAGCAACCACAACAGACACAGTCCCAATCCGAGTCGAAGGAAGGTAGCTTTCAGTGCGACAAATGCAATCTGATGTTCGGACGATTTGAACAATGGAGAGAACATCAGCTGGTACATATCATGAACCCGTCCTTATTCCCACCGGCGTATCCACCAGACTCACCTTTTGGAATCCTACAACAGCAAGCACTGAACGCTACCTCCAGCGTAGCTACGGACACTCCTCATCCACTTCTCGCGATGATGCAAGATAGGAAGAGGAAATACGAAGATTTCGAGGAGGGGACTGGAGGCGAGTCCCGATCAAATTCCGAACATAGTGAACAGCCTAAAGACAAACGTTTGAGAACGACCATACTTCCAGAACAGTTGGATTATTTATATCAAAAATATCAAGTCGAATCCAATCCATCGAGGAAGATGCTGGAGACTATCGCGCGCGAGGTCGGTTTGAAAAAACGGGTTGTTCAAGTATGGTTCCAAAATACTCGTGCTCGTGAACGGAAGGGTCAATTTCGAGCGCACAGCCAAGTGATCAATAAACGTTGTCCGTTTTGCCCGGCGCTGTTCAAAGTAAAATCCGCTTTAGAATCACATCTCAGTAGTAAACACGCTGACCAGGTTGCCCGAGGCGAGGTTAATATCGATAATATCCCCGACGAAGAACTCTCAATGGAATCTGTACCCTCGAATCCAAGCACACCGAACATGATGCCACCGTTGTTCCCACCTTTCAACACCGATATGGAAGCATCCTTGAAGAAGTACTATGAAGAGTCAATGAAACGATACATCAGCGAGTTGCAGGCACACGCCAGTAATGGCAAACAAGAAGCAACAAATCATCAGGCGGGTAGCAACAGCGGCGAAACTCCTTTGGATTTGAGCAAACCGGTCGATCTCAGTCGTCCGATGAAATTGAGTCTCGGATTGAGCAATTTGTTAGAAGAACAGCAACATGGCGCACATTTCCGCGGTGGTAGCGACTGCGGTCCACTGACCGATCTTTCCGAACGAAGTATTTGCGACGATGACAGTATGAGCGAAACCACAGAATTTCTAGATGACGAGAGTGGACCAGCGAGTCCAGCTTCGAGTACACAGAGCTCGAGACAAGGATCTGCTTCTGCAGGAACTGGAAGTACTGCGGGTCCACCGGCGACTGGTACCGGTAGCGGAACTGGCCAACAAAGTGGCAAGAGATATCGCACTCAGATGTCAGCCACTCAAGTGAAGGTGATGAAGTCACTGTTCTCGGATTACAAAACACCGACGATGGCCGAGTGCGAGATGCTCGGTCGCGAGATCGGTCTGCCAAAGCGTGTGGTTCAGGTGAGCATTCCCAAATTTAACACGACTTTGACCCCCGACCGTGCCGTTCAATACACGATCTCCTCGTCGTTGACCAACTCGCAAACTAACCGAAACGAATTGTAGGTCTGGTTCCAGAATGCCCGTGCAAAGGAGAAAAAGGCTAGATTGGCGGCAGGTTTGCCAGCCGAG